TATCTACTTATCTATCTATCTATCTATCTATCTATCTATCTATCTATGTCTGCACACTGCGTAACAATTTATAATTCAGCGACCGCGAATGTAAAACTTCGCTACGCGAGCGTTTGACAAGCAATTTTTATCGTCCGTCTGGGTCCACTACGTAGAACAGCTTGGCTCCATTTATATGGAAAACGTTCAGCGAGCAATAACTATTGAATATTCATGACAGTCGCAACCTTTGAAGTTGCAGATTTCCTTGCAAACGTGTTCGAGCACGTGTCCAGCGCAACTGTTTCGGTACATTTGTTAATTTCCTTAATAACCCGTTCTTCTTCCTTTCTATTTCAAATTCATGATTCTCTGCGAAAATGAAAAAGAAACATAATGTGATTCTTATTTCAAGTTAGATGGTATCGAGCTGAATTCATGGAATATCCGTACACGTGTTTGTAAACACAAAGAAATATTAGGGGAAACCCATCTCTATGCGATAAGAAGAAATGAAAATTAATTGAACAGATTTAAATTATATTCATGCTTATACGTATATAAATTGAAATTTTCATCATTATCGAACGAATGCAAGGAACACGCAATACAACTATACAGTCACAACAAATAATGTGAAACTCTAATAGCAACTTCTACTTTTTTAACCGATTAATTTTTCTGGAACACCTTCGACTTATACTTGTACGTTTTCCTTTTTTGTCTGCACGCGTCATCGCAGTTCGAATGATGCTATAGTTAAGTGGCTGGCAACCGATCGCTCAAGGCTAGACAGTAAGTAACGATGACAGTAGAGAACGACTCCTCGAAGAGCAACAATGGTCAATTGCTTTTGGCTGACAACCAATACTTCCATTAAACCGAATTGTGGACTCAGTCGTGACATCTTCTTTCTACTTCCGATTATTTTCTGCGTCCCTCGCCTCTCCTTTGAAACATTCGACAGAATTCTAGAATGCAATCGGAAATATAAATTTCACGCGAAGGTAACAAACGTCACGATAAACGAGAAACAATGAGACATTAACGCGTCGATAACGTACAGCGACCGTCCGAGATTAAAAGTTATTCAGTTAGAACGATCTTAATTGTTTCAGCGCTGAACGATATATATTTTATCCCAATCAAACTGTGGACACGAATAGCCGAATTATTCATATACGGTTTCTTAACGAATAACCAGTTTGGGTTCCGATGATTTTGTACAGTCGATTAGAAGTAATTACACAAAACGCAGCGTTCTATGTACGTGTTAAGAGACAATTTCAGTCTACGTAAAACTTTAATATTCCACGATGCAGGCACGTAATGAATCATTATATTCTCTCTCGTTGAAACTCTAATTAGTGGTACGCTCCGATTTCTCTGTAGAAGAGGGATGATTGTTAACGAATTTGTAATCGAAGAATACAAGATTTCCTTTCTATCCAGAAAGTATCCACTTAACATCCGCCGTGTTTATTATAATATAATATCAAATATTCTTCTTTGCACGGTAACTTCCTGTAGACATGACAGGAAATCGAACGCTTTAACTATTATGTTCGTTTCCAAAATGTCCGTGCTTTCGATTTGAAAAGTAAATTCACGAATTTGATTCTAACGCATCAGGTAATTTTCTCTATACTTATACGCAATCGTCACGACGTTCGTTCAACTTGTATTCTAAGATTATCCGAAGTTTTATTGTACATTCAATCCACTCTACATTCTCATTAACCGGCAACACGGGATTTCATAGACTTATAACTTCAAGAGTACGTCTTATAAATATTTATTCCGTTGTCCAAGAAAAGCATCGGGCGAACCTTCGCTCGAAAAACACATTTCCAATCGGCTGTTTGTTTCCAACTCGAACCACGAACTCTCTTACGCACACGCGCGCACATGAATATTGTAAAAACGAGCTCTATCGATTACTATTACTCTTGTACGTTGCAACGATCACCGACAACCGCACCGTTCAATCAACATAAACGAAGGTATCAGTTCAGGCGGTCAAATCGTAGACTGTATCTCACCTTTGGAAACGAAAGAAGGTCCGAGCCGGAGTTGAGCAAAACTTCGTCTGATCACAGATTCTAATCAAATCTGACCACGATTCAAACGCGAATAATTAATTCGGTGAAACATCGTTTTCTACTATCTTCAATTGTCGTACAATTAATCGTTAGTTTCAATATGTGATCAATATACTGGTGATCTTCATGCAAATTCAAATTTTCAACAACATAATTAGACGAATAGAATTACGATTAACAATGGTTTCTCTTAAGAAATATTACGATAAGCACTACGCTTTAGACACTTCGTATATTTTCCAGTATTGTGCACATTCCGTGCAATTTACTACTTTCAAATTCACCGTAAACGCAACAAAACGGGCAGTCTCGCGATTATATTGCGTTTTGCCCAGCTCTGACTCGAGCGCGTCTCGAAGGACCGTTGACGTCGACGAGTCTCAATGGACGCCAGAGGGAATCGATTCCGAGGATCACTCATCGTGCCAATGCGAAAGTTGCCATTTCAGATGTGCCAATTAAACGATATCGAGTTAGATGCATAAGGGCGTGCGACCGAAAAACGAACGATGGTCGCGTTTAGGAGTTTCCTTCTTTTTCTTTCGATGGAAGTCAGCGTCGCCAATGGTCCCAGAGGGGACCGGGCGCGACCAGAAAATTCGTCTGGGCCGGAAACGCGTGTTACATGCTCGCTCTGCTGACAATGAGAACACGAATGGCGTGAAAGCGGAGAAGTAGAGCGCAGACATGAGAAATTGCGTCGAAGTACAATACCAGGTGAACCTGAGACATATCTAACTTTGTAATTAAATCTTAGGCGTATGTAAATGTAAGATTAAAAAACCTGATCGAAACGTCTCGCATTTTCCGGGATATTATGTACAGAGTATTTGAATCTTTCTTGTGATATAATCGTACATATTACTAAGGTATAAACCGATAACAAGGCAAAAGCAAAAAAACAGAATTACTATTATCATTCCATGTTTTTTCATAGAGGTGAGGTATTAGCGTGGTCGTGACGAGCGCCGGATACCGCTCCGTTTTAATTAGAACGTGTGTGCACGCATTCCGACAAGTTCAAATCCGCCGGTCAGACTTTCCACACTGTCGACAGAACTTTACTTTCCGACACGAGGGACGCGAACGTTTTCTTTCCTTTTTCTTTTTTTCCTCCTGCTTGGCACACGTTGTATGCACTTCGGTCCCGTTCGCCGGCGTTCGCGAAGAATCGTGGGCGGAACGACGAGAGAAGGGGGAAAAAAAAGAAAAGACAGGAAAAATAATTCTCACCGAGTTTTCAGACCAACGTTTTCGGATTAGTTAGGCGAGAAAGAAGATGCGAAGTTACGAAAAGGAACATAGAGGAAAAAAAAGATCTTGTACCCGTTATTTTCACTCACGACTACTTAGGCGAACTCGTTAGACTAAGGTTCCGTAAATTAATACTTATTTATAATCCTTAGAGCGACCGTAGAAAGACGTTTTCTACCAGAATTTCTGTGCCAACTGCAAAGAATGTTGTAGACAATTTTTTTTGTTCCACGTTGAAGCATCATTCTAATCTTGTAAGATACTCAGATATATCTTTATTAAATATATTTGAATTTCGTAGTATATTATATTCTGATATTGATTATACATTTCATTTTTGTATATTGGTGTGTGATAAATAAATAAGAATATTGTTTCTAAGTAATTTACATACTTGTGCTCGGCTCAAACTCGGTGTTGGCCGTTGTTGCGTTCACGATTACTCCGTCGGCGTTTCTATTCTAACACTAAATCCTGCCAGTCCCACGTCGTCATATTTTTATGAATAATAAAACAAACTAGAAACTGATTTGTGCGAATAATGGAAATACTGGATTTCCAATATTTTCAAACAGCATTGAAGTGAACATTCGTCAGTTATGTAGTTATTGAACAATTCAATAGCATGAACCACGAAGTAGTATAACCAGTTTGTAGTCAGACAAAGTAACACTTTTGAACTTTGAAAAATGAAGAATAAAAAGCAGAAAGAAGATTTGACAGTAAAGCAAATATCGAATGTTACGTGAAAATATAAAAACTGATTATTCAAATTTTCTCTCTATTAATTGAAAACTGTAGATACTTACATTTAGTGATTCAAACTCACGAAATTTTCCTTCATCTTTATTTTATTAACAAAAAAATACTATCTAATAAATCTGTGTACGTTTTACTATTATATTTTAAAATACCTAGAAATATGTTTTGAATGTTTGTCACGCCTCCAAATAAAGTAGAACAATTCTGCTTTGCACACGTCGCGCATACAGCCGCCATCTTTATAAAGCACTACACAACACACGCAACTTTTCGAAGAAAATTGCTGTTCGTATTCAAAAGAGTAAATTTAACTCTTAGACTAAAAAAAGTTAACTTTCTTAAACCCAAATTATCTTCTATATATTTGTATCTAAAGAACAATACATTGAATAAATATGTCGATACATATGCACGTTACAAGATAACAATTTCTTTGAATGAAGTGTATAGTACGGAGTTTAATTTAATTTAAACTAATGCGATTAGTCTAAGAGTTAAATGTCACGGAATTTGAAGGTACTAATAACAAAATCTGTCTAACAAAATAAAAATAATATATTTTATCTCGAAAATGATAATTACTAAAAACATTTTAGAAAGTAATGATTGGACATGCTGTTGATGTGTAAACTTTATTTATTTACTTCATTGAACATCTTCCACCGTATGTTAACACATATATACATGTAATCTTAAGCACTCGAGGTACAGTATCGGGACTCGACACTCAACATTCGAGGTTCAATATATTTCTTATCACGGTTAATCAATATCCTTGCGAATACAAAACAAGTATTTCTCTGGACCGATGATGATTCCAGAAACAGGTTGGTTATTGCAAAGTTTTGAATGCCTCTAGATGTAAATTGGAACGGAATACGTGAAGACTGAAGCGTGTTGGAGCAAATTACAGCAGAATGAAGAAAGTAGAGCAGATTGAAGCGGGTTGGAGATAACTAAAGTTAAGCTAGTTGAAGTGGATAAAATCCCAGCTTAGCCATCAGATCTGACTTAAAATATGTTTTTCTTGCAAAAAATACGTTGCTGAGCAATGTTTATAATTTTTTTTTTAAATAATGAATTAATGAAACCAGAGTTTATTGTACGAAGATTAAATATTGTACTCTTTTGTGCTTGCTTCTCTGAAAGAAATATTTTACTACCTCCCAGATTTTGACGCAAAAATAAGCAAAAAAAAGCAAAATAAAGTGTTCATGTATACATGCGTATTCTGTATAAGCCAACATTAAAAAGTTTCTGGATTATTCCCTTTTTTAAGAGCATACCCTTCAATAAGCACTTTGCCAATAGACAAAGCTTGTGAACTTATTATGTATATTCAAAGCTATGTACAAAGCAAAGTATTATTAGTCACAAAATGAATATATTATGAGTCGAAATATAAATTATAATATTGTATAAAAGAAATAGTATTACTAAGTATGAGTGAATTTTAAATGAAAATAGAAAATGAAATTAAGATAGAAAATAGAGTTAATAATAGTTTTTTATGAGAAGCTATGGATCAATTATAATTCTCTGAAAATAAATATGAATGTGAACATTATTTTTATTTGTACTCACGTGATTTTAAGGTACTTCGATCTCCACTGAGCAGAGAAACAGAAGAAGATTAAAATATTTTAATCCACGAAAACGCGTTCCCACGCAATTTTCCTTACGCTTCTATACACCTAAGAAGGATACACGAAAAAACATGTTAGAAGTAACTGTTTTAGGTACTTTCAATAAAACTTCAGTAAAAATAAAGGTATAGATGCATATGACTGAGAACTAAAAGCATTAACATTAATGAGAATTTAAGTGACGGATAATGTCAGGTTTAATGCAAATCATGTTTAAATATTTCAAAAGTTTCAATGGAATTTATTATATTTTTCTAACATTTTATGTTAATATTAGTTGACGCTTGAATTACAAAAAGGAAATTAAAAACGTTAAATTGGGATGTTCCATCACGATTAAGATGATAATTTTAAAATATTGAGAAAAAGACAATATTAGTGACTGTGAAAAATATTAATGTCATTCATTGAATCTAGATATATTTATTTATATTTTTTCAGATTATAATAGTGTTAATTAATTGGGATTTTAATTAAAATCTTTTTCCAAACGATGCTTACAATAAAGCGATTATTCTTTTCATTTATTTCAGTTTACGAGAATTACATATGTAGGAAAAAACAGATAATTATTTTAAAGTCAAGAAAAATATTTACGCATAAATTATTTTACGATTATTTTGTATACTTATATTGAATGATTATAGGATTACAAGTTTTATAGTATTATAAGACCTATAACTTCAAGACAAACTACACAATTCGTAGCTTCATATTTTACACATGTCACACACGTGTTCGTTAACATGTATTTAATGTTATTTTTTGTTTAAACGTTTCTAAGTCGCTTTAATTGTGTGTTTTGTTTTCCACGTAAATATAATACACATTAAGATCGTATGAATTACGATACAATTTGCATAACCATATGAAATATGTTTAATATTCATTTATCTGTTCACTTGCCAGAAAACATCATTTACAATATTTACTTTCTCCCATTTTAGACACGTGTTTGCTAAACTCATCATAATTCGTTCAAACACAAACGACTGTCCGAGCTATGTAATGTTTAGATTGCCAATCAACCTTTCAAACTGTATGAAGGTTTGAAACATAAATTTCTAGAGATCGCGTGTATAGAACTTCTTTAATATATATACAAATTTTCTGTATAACGTTAATTCGATCGCGAAATTCCTGATACGTATCCCTGATCGAAGTAAAGAAACTTTAAGCACACGTGCGGTACAAAGGGATTATAAAATTCTGTGTATAAAACTAAAATAAATTCAACACAGCTCTGACCTTCTTTTGCTTAAAGACCGCGATACGACACAGATATATACGACCGTTTTACTTGTTTTCATTCCATTCTGATCCTCTTGGTCTTCTAGCCTTCCGCTTTGGTGTGTAACGTTTTCAGGACGGGATATTCAAGGAGCGGGTTTTCTTGCCTTCTAATACGTTTCTTTTCACAGAGAATCAGATAGTGTACAGAACCGATCAACGCAACGACAGGAAATTCAGAACTTTCTACCAGGACGAACGAGAACATCGTACACGAGAAAACGGCACTGAAGGCGCCGTGATATTTTGATTACAGCTTTCATTGTATTACGTGGTTCGGCTTATCCGGCGGTCACAACAAACTCATCTGAAAAGCATGTCAGCTTCGTTACATAATACTGAAGGTTTAAAGAACAAAAACGCAGTAAATAGATTAGGAATGCGAGACACATTAATTTTTTAATGATCAGAACAGATATACTGAGTGTTAAAAGACGATTATTCATATGTTACAGAATATATGCTATCCGTTAAATTCAATAAAAAAATCATTGACGAAAGTTAAATTTGATATTATCAGAGTTCATAAAAATCTGGAACTATTTTGGTAATATTCAGACTTCATTTCTTTCCTTAAAATTATTCGAAGAACAGTTACTGACTTACATTGACATTTCGCGTGTTTCCTAAAATATTCTTTACTCAATTTAATCAGTACCATCTGTCCTGCAAGACCCCGAATGATTAACACCACGAATATCAGAACTATTTAAAATATTAGAAAAAGAAAAATTTAGCCATGAAAATAGTCGAATTTGATACGTTTACTTAATTAGCTCGTCGCAATACGATGAAAAGTTGTAATATTTGCCTGAGTGTCGTTTACCCTGTGTTAATCTCTTCTGTGCCTCCGTTCGTTTAAAAACGGTCTCGGTCGTTTATAGGTTTTGGCATCGCAGGCACCATAGGTCGTCGTGCGTTAGGAAGATTACACGTCAACGGTTTAGGGCTATGAAATAATAAAGTCAGAAACAAAATCTTTCTCTCGTTAAGGCGCCGTTAGGATTATTTGCAGAAAAAAGAGAACAAAATAGAAAAAAGAAACTAGTTAAAAAGTAAAAGATTAAGAATTTATAGGACTGATTGTTTGTGGATTTTTACTTAGAAGGTCGTGAGTATGGAGCGTTGCGGTAGCGCGAACTTGAGCCCGATGTCGTTGTCGTCTTGTACGATTTCCATGCGCGGCTCGATGATTCCTCTGCGAATTTCATGGATTGATTCATTTGCATTACTCAGAAATTCATTCAGAATATCAACCACCAGATATTATTAATCGGATGTTTCCTAGCCACACTACGCGAAGCAGGCGTTAAACACTGATATTTTTGTTCATCTGTATTTTTAATATCATATTTTAACGAATTTTTGCTGAAAAAGGCTGACGGATTACTGAGTTAACATTTCAGGCTGTTATACGAAGCTATTCGTGACTATTTAGCGTTCGAGATTACGGACAAGCTTCCTTTAAATGCTCTATTCAACGCACAGATGGAATTTGAAGCGTACAGGTGTCCAAAAGTGTAGATCTGGATATTCTCCGGAAAGATTTTTTCAATTTTTCATTAATTCATAACATCTTTGAATTTTCTAATATTCTTTACATTTAATTATTCTTTACAGAGTTTATAGTAAATAAGAATTTAATAAAACGAGAAGTATGAAAATAATTATGGTACTAAAAAAAATAATATCCATACAAAAATATAAATTTTACTGAAATATCTTAAGGTATAAATGTAAATAATGTAAATCGATATTAGACATTCGAAAAATTTCGATTATGAAAATAATTCTATTTAATGAGATAATTTTGGGACCCATACACTGCATACTAAATGTTCTAACCGTTTTAAATGGTTAGCACAGTTTTTCTAACTATTTTGTCATTTATTTTATAGTATTTCTCATTTTGACAAATGTAAAACATTTATGCATGTTTAAGAACCATCCGTTTCACAATTTATTTTCATTCTAAAAGATTTAGTAATGAATATCAAATTTCATAAGCTTTAAGAAGTAATTATTGGAGCTGCACTTTATTAAATTTTTTTTATCAATGAAATGTATTCTGATGCATTTAAATTTTCACTTTATAACTTTAAATGTTAACGATATTAAATATTTGATGCTCCAGTAATTTTTGTTTATACGTATTAAATTCCTTGTATGTTTCAGTTCATTTCAAAGAGTTTAATTGTTTTTATAGAACTAGAATTCCATGGAATTGAATCTACGTAGAGTTATTAAAAGATTTAAGTTGATAAAATTGAAAGTGTCAAAGACATTTTGTTCATTCTGTATACATTATATATGCGTTTATCTATTTATAACATATGATTCTGAACACTCAAATGCAAATTTAATTCTACTTGTTAATTACGCATTAAAAATGTTTTTAAGGGTAATATACTATAATAAAAATAAATGAGAACACATTACCTGGATATTCCGATGTTTCATAGTACTCATGGGAAGAGTGCGGAACAGCGTCATCATCGTATTCGTATGTTGTGTACCTCAAGGAAGGATACATATATCATCTCTAGGTGACTTATAAAAATATAGGACATAGTAGAATGAGACATTATATAAATTTTAAATGTCCTTTTCCATGTGCTATGGAATGTGAATATCTCTTCAAAAAGAAGGTAATAAAACAGATAAAGTAGGAAAAGTCCTTTCGATATTGTATCGAAAACAGATATCTTAGAAACCAAATATTGTTAGAAAAACTGCATTTTAATAGCCCTACAGTTTTTTTTTAATAACTTTCTCTGGCTCATTTTGGAGATTTTTGAAATGACCCAAATTAAAGGTTAAGAAACTCTAGAATTAAAGTGTAAATTTATATGTATCATAAATAATTGAAATATTTCTCTAATAATAGTAGGTCGTCTCATAAGTTCATGCTGTTTATTTTGCTACTATATAATATTTAACATAATATTTTATTAAATATAAAATTTTCATAACTTCAGGACCTGTCGCTCTCAAATACTTTTTACTGACTAAACTGAAACAGTTCAAACTCATATTCCTCTGTGACTACAAAACGTACCGCGAGAAATATTAACACACCGCGACAAATTTATGAAACGATCTAATATTAATAAACAATCGTTCCGTATACTTACCCTGATGTTCCTGACGTATAATGCCGGTCTCCGTATCGGCTACTGCTGCTCGTCGAACCATGGTAATCGTAATCGTGATGTGAACCAACACGATTACTCGGTGGCGGAGTAGCGGTCTCGTAACTGCAAATAGAAAGACGCCCATAAATTTCCAGAATATTTACTCAATCGCATTAGTATACGAGTGACTCATATCCCGGTAAGTATAGACGCTTACCCATAACTCTGGTCCATAGCAACTCTTGCGCGGTCCAAAATAGAAAATACTTTAGTTTTCGTCGATACGGGCCGAGAGATTGGCCCTCGGCTTGACGGTGGTGGAAGTATCGCAGCTAAATGGATTCAAACTTTAATGGTATGCTCGCTAACATTTAATCCTAGAAATTAATGGCATTGTTTACACCAACCTCTCGATGATCGTGGTAACGTGGGTCTGGCGGTAGGTCTTAATATTCCCCCTCCAGCTGGGACACCCCTCACAGATGGTCTTCTATCATCAGTGTTTATAGGATCATCAGCCATATTCATTTCCATTTCTCGCATTTGTTCTTGCCGTATATTGTCGTTGTTGTCCGGAATCAGATACTTTCGTACTTCAGCTAATGCGAAAGCAATACGGGCATAAGCTTCTGCTGGTGGCGCAAGAGCTGTTATTTCAACATGTAAATCGTCTGATAAATGTGCATATTTTGGATCCAGAGACATTCGACATTCAGCTTCCTAGAATAACCATAAAAAGTTACACCTTAATGACACTTATATTAGACCATAATTTAAAAAAATGTTATTTTCATTTACCTTTCATTTTTTTTTTAATGTAAAAATCAATGTAATGAAAAGATAGATAGTTAAATTTATACGTTCTTTCATTAAAACTAGCAAATAAAATTTTTGTATATTCAGAAATGAATGTAATGATGTTAAATTTTTTAAACACGGACTATACTAAAGCAAAGTAAGAGATGGTAAATAATTGAAATATACCTTTTGACGATCTTTCATTGATCCTCTTCCTAATACTGCCATTTTGCACATGGTTTCCTCTTGTAAACGTTTCATAGAATTACCTTTTGGACCCAATAATTTTCCAACAAAATTAAACTGCAAGTTTATTATATTTATTTATATAAATTTCATTCATCACTGCATTAAGTAAACAATCATCATAAAATATAATTACCTTAGGATGTTCTCTAACAGGTACTAATACTTTTACAGAGACACGAATTTGTTTTTCACGATAAATATCCACATACTTTGGGTCCCTTATAGGTTTCCCCATAGCTTGAGTTTTTTGAATTTCTATTGAACAAAGTAAGTATCCTTGATTCTATGATATAATAATAAAATTTTAATGTATAGTAGATCTAAAACTAATGCTATCATTTCACGCATTTGTTTATAACATGTATAGTAAAACATATATTACAACATATTAACAAAAACCTATACACAGCTATAAATTATAATATAATTAGTTTATAAATCTACTATCTTTTAGACGCATAATAGTTCGTTTAAACAAATTCTAAAAAATATATAACAATTTAATGTATCTGTATTTACAGAATCTTTAAATATTACCCTACAAATAATTAAATCCATTTATATAAATTAATTCTTGAAAATTAAAGTCTTCAGGAAAATCAATTTACCAATGTATACAAAAAATATACGGAAAGATATTATGAAGAATGTCAACAGTAAAATTATAAACACGGAAACTTGCTAAAAACTCCAATTCAAGGAATAAACGTAGGACTTACCTTGATCTATTAATCTGGTTGCGTTTGGCCATTTTTGAGAATCTAATTCAACTTTTTCTTGCAAAAGTTCACGAACATACTCCCCAACTTTATCAATTTGATGCTCCTTTTCCTCGCGTTCATTTTCTGATGAAATGCGTGGTTTTAATTCAGATTTTTCTTCCCTTTGATATTTATATTCACCATTACTTGGTCTATCACTCATGATTAACACTGTATTATCAAATAGTTTGCAGAGTATCTAAGACAGAAAATAACAACTTTAACAATTAGAAAACGAAGCGTAGTTGATCAATCACACGCGACGCGTCCTTTGGATAAAATTGCAATGGCTGAATGCTGATTATTCTATGTACCTCCAGCTAAGTTTAAGGCGCACATTCATGCATGAATCAAATACATATCCCCCGCACACAAACCTTAAACTTTCTTACTGTAATAAAATTTTGGTCACGCGAAATTAAAAATAAATTCGATTGATGTTTAGTTGTTTATTAATATCTTCTGCTTCAGCATAAATTAATGTTATCTAGTAGAGTTATTAATTATTTATTTTTTCAATACAATGTATGCTAGAAATACATAATAGCGCCATCTTGGCACAATAGGAAGATACTAAAGCACGAATTTAAGTCACAGTCTTCTTAAATTTGTGGGGCTGTCCTAATAGAATAATAGGTAGAGCCATTGGTATTTTGACCCTATCCTTAAGTAAATAACAATTCAATATTTTTTTAATTAGCTGTAATTATGAATAAAACAAGGTTTTTATAGTTTGCTTAAATTTTTAAAAAGAGTAAGTATTAGCTTTATTTTTTGTATGCGTTTTATATGTATTTACAATTATTTGTTAATAAGTACATTAAAATATGAAGTTCTTATAAATTATAGATGGCGAGAGTATTGAAACTAAATCATTGAGTACAGCCGGATGGTATGTGATTGTGTCTGTGTTTTTAAAACTCTTAATTGTATAAAAGAGTTACAAATTGTGTAGGCAAATACTTTTAAACATGAGTCACATTATAGTAATACGAAGTTACAAGCCGGGAGATGAAATCAATTGTAAAGAGTTAATAAAATCCGGCGTAATGTCATCTTTGAATTCAACATTTTTTGGAATTGTTTTTAAAGAATTAACATTCCAAATGATGATATTATTTGCTGCTATAATGTTCATCTTCTTTGGATTACCTCTGACTATTTGTTTTTTAGTTATACCACTTGTTGTTTTCCTTGTGTACGTTGGAACTTACATAGGTTTCACTACGAAAACTATGGAAGTTAATGAAGAAGTTTCTAATATACCAAGGTAAAATTTATTCTCATTTTTTTAACGGGTATTGAGACTATAAATTCAATGTATAATATTATTGTTTAAAAACAAACTAATTTATAATAATTTTGATTATAAAAACTTCTTCATCTATTACAACAGGGTTTACATGTCCAATGCCTTTTCCTGTTTTTGGGTTGCTGAAGCATTTGAACCTTATTTAATGACAGAAAATCCGACAAATATACAATACATCATCATGACAGAGCAACAATTCCGTGACTCAGATATTGATATTTCATCTCAAGTTAAAAGGATTGTAGGTACAGTTGCTTTATGTAAAAGTCACAGATTAGATAAAGGTGCATGGATCAAAAGATTACATGTTCATCATCGATACAGAAGGAAAGGAATAGCTTCGTGCCTTATTAATGTTGCTATATCATTTGCAATAGAGCAAGGATATAGTTGTGCTAATATAATTGCCTCAGAATACACAGAAGGTGGAAGGGAATTATGCCTTAAAAAAGGATTTGAATTGCAACAAATGTATCATAAATCTATTTTGGGGTCACTTATAACTATATTGATGTATGAATTAACGTACCAGATTAAACCTGGAGATGATGACTATGTGCCTCCCATTTATAATAAATCAATGCTTAATAAGTAAGCATTAGATTTTATTTGGTACTATTCTAACAAAAATAGCATGATTTTCATAAGTCTGATTATATACATTCTAAGAAGAATCTGAGATAGTTACTTTATGACTATAGAATTATTGACATTTTATAATGTTACTGAAATTATAAAAATATTGTTATAGTTAAAAATAATTTTGTAATTTAGTAATTAACAAACTATTTTGTATTACTCCAATGTGACATATGTGTACAAATCATTGTTAGAAATATATTTTTCTCACTTTTTCATATTTTCCCAATATGCTTCCACTTCTTTATTATCCCAATGCTTGTCAGTTATTGTGGATACATATCTGAAATACAAGTTCTTACATTATTTTATACCTTTATATGTAATGTTTTTAAATAAATATAATTTTATGCATAAACTGTCATAAATAAAGATATCATTTTCTGTTTCTGTTAATGAACTAAATGAAATAAAATATTATGTTGAAAAATTTATTCTACTTACTTCTCTTGAATTTCTTTCAGTATAGTTTTTTCTCTTTCTGTAATGCCATTTTGTAGGATATCAAAATTCATGTGTAAATGTTTCAAAGTATTCATTCCAATAAGATGTGTGGATATATCTTCAGATTGCATGGAATACCATATTGCTAATTTAGCTAGTTCTGTATCACGTTCCTAATAGTTTGATGTTTTATCAATTCAAATTAGAATATTTTTGTATAAGAAGTTTACTTTATCATTTTTATTAATTTCAATATTATCAATGTACCTTACAGTATTTTCCCATATCTGAACATATTTGCTTTGTTTTTTCTAAGCTAAGATGCCAAGCTGGTGGACCATTATTAGTTAAAAGTCCCATACATGTTAATGCTGCATTAATTACACCAATATTCTTTGCCTACAAAATTACAGCACATTATTATACCTTCAGCTTTCAATAAAAATAGTTAAAATATATGTTTATATTAATAATTCATGCAGAAAAATGATTAAATGTTTTAAAAAATGATACCTTAAAGTATGATATATATTCCATTAATGTATCGTCTATCAACGTATGTCTTGTGTAAGTTAATATACAAGATATGGAAATATTACTCTTTTCAATGCACTCTTTCAAAATGGATAGTGGATATCCTGTGATACCAATGAACTTGGCCTTACCTTCTGCAACTTGAGTCGATACTTCCGGTAAAGTTTGGGTGATTATTATATCTAAACTTGGAGCGAATTCAATATCGTGAATCTATAACACGCAATAAAAAAAATATTTTATAAATAACTAATAAAAAATAACTAACGAAAAATTGTACGTACTTGTATAATGTCGACATAATCTAAACCTAAAAGTCTTAAGCTCTTCTGGAAACTTTTTCTGGTTTTTTCTTTTGAAAAATCAAACATGTTTTTGTAATCTAATTCATATTTTCCAACTTTTGTTGCGATGTAATATGCTTCACGTGGTATGCCTTTCAGAGCCTACCGCTCACGAAAAAATGAAAAAGGTTAATAATATTTAATCAGTTTATCCGATAAAAAAAAACAGAAATTATTCTTATGGCATTTTGTTATTTAATTGAAAAGTGGTGCATTACTTTTCCAATTACAGTTTCAGAATGGTATTGTCCATACCACGGTGCGGTATCAATATAATTAATACCCCGTTTTATTCCTTGGCGTATCATCTCAATAGCTTCTTCCTCATCGAACGTGCTATTGATAAATAAAAATATGTATCGTTTAAAGATAATAATTAAAAAATTTTGCAACGTGAAAGTTTACAAAAAACGCATTACATAGAGTTTTTATAGTTCGCGTTCCGTAATAGTACATATTATACGTTAATTAAAATAAATGTACTTTAAATATCAGATAATATGAATAAATAAAATTCCTAAAGAAGGAAATATATAATTTAATTATGTTATTAATTCGATAGTCATTTTAATTGAAGAGGAATGCATTTAAATGAAAGAGATCTTGATCCTGAACCTCTGCATAATATATTTTATTTTATTTCGTTTCAACGACTATTAGATATAAGTTGAATATTGTTGCATGTTTATTCTCTACTGAATCATTATTACTAACCCATAAATGTTACTAAATAGTGCACCACCCATAGCTAGTTTACTGACTAATAATCCAGTTTTACCGAGAGGCCGATACTCCATTGCTTTTACAGCCTCTAAATCATGAAAACCTTCCACGTATGTTGGTGGTAACATTTTCCTGCATATGTAAAAAATTTAATTGATTTACAAATTTTATTAATACATTAATTGTATATTCAGTAGTTTTTAATTCTATTGGTTCAATATTTACAGTTGAATTAGAAAACAAGTGTAGGTACATAGGTACTGTACGCAGACGATATCTTTTCACGTCTCCTTCAAACTGAAGGGGCAAGTGCGGCAAGAGCCGGACAAAGCCGGAGAATGAGTATAATGAGGAGAAGTGAGACAGACACAGTTCTCCAAGCATCGAGAGTCAAGGCGCGAGACTTCAAAGCGATGCCGCTACTAGTTTTTCCGACTTAATATAATTAACAAAATTAAAGGTTTATTTCCTTAAAATTGATAAAACTAGTTTGATTTACATCGTGTTTGGACGTGTTTTAATCATAACAATCTCAACAAGTTACTGGCACTACGTTTGAGAAAGTAATTTAAGTAATTTAATAATAAAGTTTATATTTGATGTGTGCGACATTGCTTTGAAGTCTCACACCTTGACTGTCAATGCTCGGAGAACTGTGTCTGTCTCACTTCTTCTTATTATACTCATTCTCCGGCTTTGTCAAACTGTGCTTGAAGAGTTCATGTCCCTTTGCCGCACTTGCCCCTTTAGTTCGATAGAGATGTGAAAAGATATCAGCTGTAGACAGTACATATTTATATGTATATCATTTTTAGTCAATTTAACACTTTCTAATTCTTATCAAATTCACATTTCACCAAGATTAATTTAAATTCATAATTTATTTACTATTAAGTAAAAATCATTATTCGATATAATATGTATGTATGTAGTTGATACTCCTATTCAAATTGTAATAATGTATGAAAATTACCATCAGTTGAAAATATAAAAATGTTGTCAACTTTAAATATTTGTTTAATTACTTCCTTACCGATATCGTTAAGACATAAATAATTTTTATATTTGTTTCACTAAATATATAACATTATACTTAAGAATAATATTCATGCGTAAATTATTGCATTCAATAGTTGGTGCCAAAATAAATTTATTCCATATTTTTAGCGTTCAAGGTCTACCGTAATTTAAATAAGCAAAGGAGTCATTGTACGCGCGATCATGAAAAGTGGAAGCAGTCATTGTTTCAACATGAACGTTTATTCAAGATAATACTATATTTATTTTTATATACTGTAAATGACTTTTCTGAATTGCATCGGCAAACATTGAATGTAATCCACAGTCGATACATTGTGTAATTTTAAATAACAATTACTTACATTTCTTTGTACTTCAATTGTTGACCCAGTTACTTGTAATTAAATATATCTGTGTGGAAATAATTACTTTTTCAGATAATATTTATATCAAATGTAAGACCTTTGTGCGCTGAACTGTAACAGTCAACTGACAAGGCAAGCCAGTTTCCGATTGATAAGGAGAATAAGACTGATCAAACAGTATCATCACTGACAAGAAAGACTATAGACTGGACCCCTTATGGGACGTCGGTTTCGGTGATCTGAAATACCGATTGTGTAAGAAAAACAGACGTTTGATGCACAAACTTAAGATACGTACAAGACATTGTAACTTATGAGAATTTTCGTCTCGGGATCCCGTACCATTTTGATGTCGCACTCGATGTTACCGATAATACAAGATTTACTAACAATGTTAATAGCATTGTCGTCGATAGAGTAGTTCCTATCGAGGATCGTGCTAGGACATTCGGTTGCGAAAACTTGTACATTATGCTAAAGTTATCCTCATACCTTATAATCAATAATTTGCCTATTTTGCCCCTCATTCCAGTTACCTGTGCTACATGCGCAAATTATGGTCCCAAGTTCTTGGCGGTCAACTTCGTGACTCAATGTCTAAATCAAAGAGCAATATTCACTCGTGTTTGCCCGTTCGCTTTATAATTTTATGGTTTATTAAAGTAATCAAAGTACATTTTCTTACTTTATTAAAATGTTTATTATTACAAATTGTAGGTACAATGCATAAACAATTAAAAAACTTGGAAATTCCTAATTTTGCAGATCCGAAAGGTTATCGTAACTTTTATTAAACACACAAACTACTTGTTTCATTAAAAAAAATATATCAAATTGTTCAAATTGTTTACCATTTTTATATAGTCATATAATATATATTTATCTCACTGTTTCTTTTTCTTATTGTCGAATAGATAAATATATAAGTCTTAAAATTGTAAAATATCATTAATAAAAGTGTGAAAGCACCAGTACCTGGAAATATAATTTTAATAAAGAAGTAATATAAAGAAGTAATACATTACACGTATAAAACTAACTATAACATTAAAACTTTGCATTGATAGGTTGCAGATATTGAGTTATGGCATATTATTGGACATAATTTTATACTAATTACTAACATAATCACGTTGCATTATAAAATGACGCGTCATTAACATACAAAATTTGTAAACTCATTAATAACTTATACAAAACTTCCCATGAATTTGAATAAAAACATTCATTGATAATTGACTTTTCTGAGATTCAGACAAGGTTCATTTCATATTTTTATAGTATTTCATAATACTACCTTGTGCAAAGTATTATATTTGATTTTCAATCATAATATATGATTACCAATCATTTTGAAAGTATAGTGTTTAATGTTATTAAAGTAGTATTATCTAAAATATTAGATTTTATAACAAGATGTTGAATACTTTACTCAAGTATTGATTGTTAAATGATTTCACGTTCTAATGAATAAAAAAGATGAATGATAAATATGCACTTGATACCATACTGAAGTTATAATTCTTTTCTGTAACATAAAACATTTTACTGCTTATGTTCTAAGTTTTAGAAATATATTGGTGTTGATTGTTTTAAAATATGATATGATTAAAGAATGATGAAAAATTTGATTCCTAATAACTTTTTAACAGTAGAATAAACTAATTATTGAATAAAATACCTCAGAGCTAGAGTATCCAAATTTAGGTGCTATTTTGTTACCAATTTCTCTAATTGTCAAACATTTTTTAGCGTTATAACTGACTTATTTGAAAATCAGAATAACTAAGATGTGTATATTCATAAAGTTTACAATATCAAAAGATATGAGATAAACTTGTTTACTTTATAAAATTACATAAATACTGCAAATAAATTTATGTTGAAAAATTGCTTGTCTGATAAAAAATTGTAGCAGATTTTTTAGTTTGCTCATCGTAGTGTCCAGTTTGAAACTTTTCAAAGGCCAATATTTAAATGATATGATTTCTGTAATTATATAAATAGAATAGACTATTGTTTACTTTCAGGTAAAGTATCTAATGTCATTAGTTTTTGATAATGTTTGTTCTGTTCCTTCTTGTACAGTAATTACACAGATCCATTCTTTTTAGCTTGTTGCAACTTCTGTCTTTCAATGAATAAGTTCTTTATATCAGCTAGTGCTCTTTCTATTTGTTTTGCAAACCGTGCAGCATTCTAAACAAAAATGTAATTATATTAAAATCTTAATTAGTAATAAAATTATGAAAATAATCGCATTCAAACAGCGAACTACAAATCCTTACAGTTTGTGGGGAGCTAAGTTTGCAAGAGATATGAAAGAATATAAGATTTTCTCCAGCAATGATGTAGGATACACCATAACCATCATCAGCCACAGGACCAAAACCACCGCCTGCAGAAATACAATTTGGATTCTTCTTCAAATCTATTAGTGACGTTTGACCATGTGGTGTCTGCGAAGTGGATAATTTCCATGGTTCACTTAAAACCTCCTACAAGATAAAATTCTTAGAAACATTTTCTTAATGAATTCTTAGAAGTATATTATTATTAGAGAATAGTACCTTCAAGAAAGGTGAATCCACTTCTAAATATTTCGATACTACATATAAACAAAATAGATGTCTATCTATTCCTTTACCAGACATAGCATCTTGATAACCTTTTTGATGTTGCTTTGCTGCAGCCATCAATAATTTGTACTTTTGTTCTACCTGTAAGAAAAAAATATTTCTAAATTTAATATGAACTTTATAAAAATTTGTTGAATATTATTAATAAGACATATTAAAAATTGAATAAGTTATATTTGAAAGAAATATATTTCCATTAATAAGTCTCATGCTTTTTAATGGGAAATATTGTATTTTATTTAAATTACTTACTGTTGCATCTTCATCGTGCATTGTTTTCACCCATTCAGTAGATTCAATTGTACATGGCCTCACGGTTTCCGTTCTTCCTTCACGGAATAATCTAGTCATGGAAGCTTCATAAGTTAAATTAAATTTATTAGAATCACGGAAATATGCCAATTGAAGTGCCATTTGTATGTATGCATCAGGTGACATTGAGTTAACTTTCATAAATCCTTTGCCATATGCATCATGCACATAAATACGTAGCTCAACATCACTTAATAAATTTTGGGCAACCTGATAAATAAAAAATTTTTGTAGATTTGTAAATAATTACCGTATTATATGGTTATTACGTTCTGACAAAAATCTATTATATCTTTTATATAAATCTTGAAATATTTTGAATTTGAAGCAATAATTATAAATTTACAATCTCTTTTAATGTATTGATAAAATATTCTTAATATATTAGACATTACCTGACATGACTCTTCGATAACATTTATGCAGTTTGGAGTTAAGTCCCACTGAAGTCGCGTCGGCGATGGAGGTATAAATTCTGGTTTACCTTTGTTATGCCCATCTTCTGTATATCTATAATATATTTGAAAGAACTCTGTACAATGAAGAAATATGGCAATTTTACAAAATGTATACATGTACACATATGCATGTATATTTGTTTATTATTAATAAAATATTTACAAAGTTTGCATAATTATGATCTCAATCATAAATGAAACACATAAACACAAATTATGGAAAGGGTTCTTGAGAAAATGTTTAAATCTTCTTAAAAAGTGTGAAGAAAACGATAAAACGGAGTTTATGTGGCAAAAAAGATGCAAATGAATGAGAGGAAAATGTATAATTACAGTTCATAAATGTATAAGTACAATTCAATGGTTTTATAACAATATAAGAAGACTATGACTAAATAATTGGAAATAATGATATACAATATATATCAGTAGAAATCATAAAAATATGGAAACTATTAAATATAATTCCAAATAAACATTATTATATTTATTAGTAATATTCATCACTAAAAGTTTTATGCATATTTCAATTTTATTTATATATTACAGTTAAAGTGAATGTAAATAAATGTGTACATATACACTCAAATATAATTAACACATGGTATGATTTACATAAGTTATGTTAGAGAAGCAAAACATGTTATAATGGAGGAGTTAGTACAAAGGGAATAATTATAATAAATGAAAAGCTTATGACATAAAAAGATAAGAAATATAAGAAAAAATTACCCCATGTTCACCTCATTACCGATTACATATTCCCATAGAGCTCCCATTATAGGTGCATCAGCCCTAACAAGTATAGTGTAAATAAAATTATTTAGCCATCTACATATAAAAGAAGTAATGTAAATACAATAAATTAATAAAGTCACCAATAATAAGACATGTAAATAAAACAAAGAGATGGCAGATACCAATTAAATCTTCAAAGATATAAAGTATTTCTTAAAATACATTAAAAACTATATAATGTATTTTTTAAATATTTTAAATTGCTTTAAAAAATACATTATGAAGCATATTATGCTATTAGTAATTCAATGTACTGGTGAAAAAACTTGTATACAGGACAGGGCACGTTATTAGAAGCACTTCAATTACTGAAATATAATAATTGTAGTGAACAATATTTTAGATAAAAATTTAATGGTTTTAAGGGGAACATAGTTTAATAGAATTTATTTTTTAGTAGGAGAACGCGTAAAGAACATGTGAAGATCAAGTGTTTTTTTAGTGAGATCATATATTTTTTGTCGCATAATTTAATTAATTTCGGAATTTTCCCATAATAGAGTATTAACCTATTATTAATAAAATAAAATAAAATGAATTTAAACCATTAAACCAATAATTTTTTAATATAAACAATTAAATTTTTATTTAAAATATTACTTTTTCATTAAAATTGTTACTTATTCAGTAACTAAAATGGTTCCAGTTATATACGTACTCACCTTGTATATACACAAGGTATTATAGAAATATGTTTAAAATTGAAACATTCTTATCTTCATTCATTTATGTAAAAACGAGATTAAATGCTCTTTGAAGATCGTAGTTTACTTTTAATTTATAGTTAATATGTTGCAGTGGACTTTCTTAGAAAGAGTAAAGAAGGCAAGAGAAGCAAAAGATTCAGTAAACAGAACGTCAGAAACTGTAGATTTGGATTCTTACTGTTTGTTGAGATCCTGAGACATGACGTACTCCCACAAATGTGACATCACTGCTGCATCTGCCCTACTCATTACTTCTCATTATATACCGATTTAAATGTAATTTACTATGAATTTATAGTATTTCTTTTTTCTTGCTAATACGTATATTATAGTTAAAAACTACTGTTCTATGATAATAAAATGAAATTGTTTCTTATAAATTCGTAAAGCAACAATTATTTTCCAACCATCTTCTTGCCTTATACATCAATATTTTATATTATCTGACTGTAATTTATGAATCTATATTTTTAAAAGAAAAACTCACCAAGAATGTTCAGCATTGAAACCAGTCTGTAAAAAAAATGTAGTATTTAAGAATTATATTTTACATATTATATTAAATTAATTCATAATTAATAATATTACTTACTCTGCCATTCGTACCGATGCATAAAGTAAAAGACTTATCGAACCATCTATCATATCCTTTACCGTGTAGTAGAATCCGTCCATATTGATCCAATTTGTCTGGATTTGCCTAACAATATATAAATCATTCTAAATATATACTAATAATTTAGAGATAAAACTTCTTATATTTTTTTTTAGCAACACTTACTGGATCATATATATACGGTACATCATCCAAAACTACTACAAATGCTGCTTTCTCGATGAGATCTAAGGACATTTTATTTACTCCTTTCCCAAAATATTCTTCTCTAGCTTGCGCCCAAGTTGTTCTTTCACCAGCAGTTAATGCAGCCAATTTTTCTTCGCCTACTAATGGTTCAGACTGATCATCTAAAATTTGCTGCATCTGACTGCAATATACATTATTTGTAAGATTTACAGCGAGTAATAAATAATTAAACATTTATAAAACGTTGGTAATAACAAAAAATAATAAACTAAATTAATATACTTTAAACACTAAATTTTGCAAGATAAACAGATTGTTTAATTTCGTGTAGTAAATATTTTAGAAAATGATTCTACAAGATAATTTATTTAAGATAAAAGCAAAACCATGATTTTATTGATTTTGATTTTTATCTAATTTTAGTTTGTAGAATCACCCATTAAAATATCTATTACACGTAGTAAAATATTTTATATATAAAAAGAAATAAAAAATTTATCAAAGTCGAGAAGTGTTTCATAAGAATAACAAAAGTTTACATACAAATTTGTTCAATGACTACAATTATTTTATGGGTATTAAAGTTTAGGTAGTTTGTTTAATTAATAAATACATAGATAGCTTTAATCATTTCAGAATGAATTGTAAAACAAATGAATATGATGGAATAGAAAAGAATAGAATAATCAAGGACATTTTGAAAAGTTGACTTGATAACTTTGAAGTTTATACATTTATAATAATCTTGTATAAAAACTACTGAACATTTATCACTTCATATTCCAAGGTTTGTTTAAGTAAATTATTCAAAAAGTATTCATCCAATTTGGAACCATCTCTTGTGAAATAGAAAATATTTTGAAGATGTGGGTTAATGTATTGCATATCTTAAAAAGTTAGTATTCCACTCTTTGCCTTGCATTCATTCTGATTAGGTTGCTTTTACTTATTATTATATAATGAAGTGCGCAATGTATTATCCCTGAAAGTAAGCTTAAATGATTATAGTCATTGAACTTTGCTCATTATAAGCTCTGAACATGCATGCTAATTAAAATCATAAAAGATACATGAGCTCTTAAAAAGAATGTGATGACCTTGTCATAGGTAAGGGAATCCTTTCTTTATAATTACTATGTTTTTTTTGAGTGAGAGAATTTTAGAGCACTGTTTAACTGTCATCACTGACTTTAAAACATTTTCCCCCATACTTCAAGTTTTGTCATAATGTCTCTTCCCCTATATATTTAGTATCTATGACAAAATCTGTGAAACATATGCATTTATAAAACTTTTCTCTATCCGAAGTAAATATACCAGGCTAAAATTTAGTTATTGTGTTAGAATAATTCTGTACAAAGATATATGTAATTATGTTTAACTTACATTTCGATTTCACAAGCTTGAAGAATTCGATTTTTATGATAAATAGGAACTTTGAAGTATCTGCCCTTATGATATACTACAATGTGCTTTGAATCCTGGTAATGAACAAGTTTGTCTGTTTCACGTCCCGGTAGTCGCGTAGTATTAAATAATCTTTCATACTGCCATGAACATAAAGGCACTAAACCTTGAATTAATATCTAAAGATGAAAATAAAATTATTTCATACCTATATATTTCATCGCATTACATTAATATGTAGTAATTGACGAAACTAGTTTCGTTTGTTCTAATGTAATTACGTTTGAAAAAATTTATGTACAAACCGGTTCCAATTCTTGCCGTTCAATAAGACGTCTGTATTGTAAACATGAATAAATAACGCCTGCAGCACGAGCAGCTTGTACACTAGTAGGATGCATAAGAATAGCATCAATGCCATAGAAGTTTGAATTCACCATAATGGGAGATCGTCCTCGTAGATAAACATATTCTTCCCACCAATCAGAAACGTAATTAGTAGCCCACCAGGACTTCAGAATTAGATAACGTTGAAGTTTCACGCCAATGCCTTTTTGAAATTCTTTAGCCAATGTCTCCATTCGAGCATAATTTTCATCATCCAATAAAGGTCGCACGCTTCGAAGATACTGTGTAAAAATGTCTTTAATTAATTTATAGCCTAAATGAGAAATTACATGATAAAATAGCAAAACAAATAAAAAAAAGCAATATATAATAATTAATAACAGAATTAAGTAAATGGCTACAATTACTATGCAACTATAAATGAATTTTTTATTCTAACCCGTTTCATAGTATCTTCTACTGATGGTAATGGTAGTCGCGGTAGAGATCCTTGAAAACTATACAACATTGGCTTGTGCCATGAAATGAATAATTTGACTAATGAGGTCCATGCTCTAGTGAAATTTGAAAGTTTTGTTCCTTTTTCTCTTGATTCGTACATCCATCCTTTGTACATAAGTAATAATTTTAAAGTGTACCTCATCACATATATCATTACCAACCATAAAAGAAGTCCAACAGCAAATGATCCTGCCAAATGTGTCAGTATTGAAGACCTATAATATAAGATATCAAAAATATGTAATAGTTATATGCATAATTAAGATTATATATGTATAAGACATATTTAAATGACAATTTTCTTAACATACCCTGAAAGATAGGGTACAGTTTTCCCAACAAGGTCATAAGGTACCCTGTAACCCAAGAAATGTATTGTAGTTACCAAAATTACAGTAAACCATAAGCTTTGCAAGGATGCAGGATATACACCACTCTTCAAGTTGTTCTAAAAACCAGTACAGTTGAATTATTACATCATAGGAAAATTACATAAAATTAATTAACCCTCTAACCGCAGGCAACGCGGAATCCATGTCGCTTGAATTTTTAAAAAATTCTAGTGCTAATTTACCTACGGATCCATATTTTGAACTGTATCACACTTAAAAACAGATCTAATGATAAACATGTTTTCTTTATCTTCAATTATTTTTATTATGCTTTTTCATATTCTATTATAATTTTTTTTGTAATAAATCAGTACAAACTTTCGTCTGCGTTTCTGAAGTTACCCGCGGCTGGAGGGTTGAAGACTATAAACTTACAAGAAATTTGAACAGTCTTTTTTTCCAAGAACGAACACCCGATTGCCATACTAAATGTAGAACTTCTTTATCAAAATTTACATCCCATCCTTCATGAGTAATAGAGAAACTAAATGCTACAGCTGCATGAGCTTCCGCCATTTTATTGATTATCAATTACAACTCTGAAATTAATAAAATCAAATTAATTAACACATTTTCTAGTTAACGAGTCATTACAAGTTTTTTATTACATTCATTAAAAAACTAAGTATTCGTATCATAATAAAAAATATATGCCACTACACGGTTTTTTGCTTTGCTTAGTTAAGTAAAGTTATCATGTAAATAGTGAATAACACCCATATTTTCATAGAATAACAATTAGAGCGGTCTCGTCTAAATCTGCTTTTCTGTTAACGTGAATGTTACTCATGCTGCACCAGGCATGTACCAGTAAGTACACGTAATATAAGCATAGTGAAAATATAATAGGATGCGCGAAGGGGGATAAAACCGCGTAAGGGGTCTTCTCACTCGTGGACAAGACTGAATTACCGCTTGCGCGCTTCTCTCGTATAACCTTGGACTTTGGACGGTATTCGTCTGGCTGGACGAACGGTAATCATTTTCGCAAACAATTACTCTATCTTTCCGCGCGTCTAAGTGTATCTATGAATTATATACACTCACGTTCTAACGCACTATCTAACTTCTGTGCAATCATTAGACTGTGAAAGTTTAGGAAATGCATTTTATCAGAAACCATATAAGAACCAGTATAAGAACCAAAATACAAATAGATTTCGCACTACTAATTGAAAGATTCTTTAATTGTTCCTTTAATAAATTCCATTAATTGAAAGATTCATTAAACTGAATTAAAGTTTCCGTAGTCCTTGCTTCAGATTATTGCTTTGCATAAGATTGATTATTAATATTGTTAACTATTTTCATTGAAAGTTTTCATAGACAACAGCATAAAATATAGTTTTATTATACAATGGAACGTGTATAGATAATATTACTCAATGTATGTCATTATTGTTAATTGTAAGTTGTCTTGCTAACTAAACTGTGTGCTACAGAAATACTTCACAAATAAGTTTCTCTGTTATGCAGTTGCAACTTCTATTTATGATGCGATGTAACTCGAACGTCTTAACATACCTCTTTTGTTTCATTTGAACGAAAAGTTTTAAAATCTTTCGATAGTATTATTACCGAATTTATAATTTTACAATTTTTGATGGTAGTATTGATGTATTAAAAATAAAGTTGATACATTATTTGCAAAGAAATTGTGATCATAAACTCGTAGAGAATATAGGAATGCAACGCACTACGATTGCCATTAGCACACTTATGTGAATAAAATGGCATTAATGAATGACGTATGTATGCATCATATGCGAACAATTCTATTCTGAGTACAATACTCCACGATAAGACTATGTTTCAGTTTTTCTTATTAGCTTGCCAGATGATACAAATTACATGTTTACACGTCACTGAGCAATTATACACTCCATTTACGAATCATTGATAGATAGGAAAATATCAAGGAGATAGTTATATTATTCGGTTATAGTTTTGTTTTATATGGAATCCTATATTTCTAATTTTTTGCCACTGCAGCTAGGCTTTTCTAATAAACATTAACTAAAATATTTATACAGCCAGTATACATGCAAAATGTAAAAATATAATAATAAATTATAGTCAAATGAAGAATAAAATTATAATTGAGACACTTCTCTAGAAACGTTGAAAATTATGTATTTATATCCTTGAACATGTTGACCATGAAATCGAAATTATGAATCGTCATTAAAAAAGATCCAATCTTCTTGATTACGAATAACATCGCCGAGGAACCAGTTTGTATCATCGTATTTACACTCTCGAATAAAATCAAATTTTTTTCACATGCTCAAACTGCTCAACTTTCAGGTGGTGTAAGCTCAACAAATCGATTTCAAAATTCTATCATAGATCATTCAAAATGGTTTGATACGAAATTAAATTTTAAAGATGAAATTCCCACCTCGTTACACACGCAAGTTACATTAACTAAAAGCTTGCAATACTTTCCAATAGATTCTGCAATAGTCTTCTTTTGGCGTAACATGCAGGCGCTGCGTCAGCCTTGCTTGAATGTTGCAGACCTAAAACGAGTTCTGGTCTGTTGTACTTTTACTTTAGCGCAGCGGTTCCCAACTGAATTTAATCTCAGAACCTTCCTCGCTTTGCAAAACTAAACTTTACTTGATTGAAATAAATTGTTTACATATGATTATGCAAAATGTGATGATCAGAGAGTTTAGGAAGTGAAATTTAGTAAGCAACAAACATCATTTCACTTGAGTCGAATAAAAACGCTCTTTCACTGTTATAAACATTTACCGTTCAGAGTAAATATGCGTTTCCAACGACACAGACAAAATCCCTTTTTCTCCCGATAAAGTACTACTATTGAATAATTCCTATGACCACAATCGCGACACGGAAGATTAAAGAACAATAAGAACAAGGATCTTGAATTACAACCTACGCATACAAAAACATACGCGTTCATAAATACCGCGACTTGTATGGACATTATACGGATTTACGCAACGTCATCCTCGTCGGTGATGAATTTCGAATAAATTGTCCGCGTTGTCGACTTAGTCACTCACTAGTTTTTATTAATAAAACATTTTCAATCGACTTTCGATGCTTTATATAGTAAAATTATTTCGTAGCAAAACTATAATCAAACATTCATGTACTTTTAATAAGCTTACTGCCAATAAATATAAATACGAATGAAAAGGCCTCAACATGATACAAATAATGACATTATTTAAAAATGTCAATGAATAAGTAAACTTTTTAGAAGAAACATTACAAAATTTGATTTATTTCCAAAGATTTCTTAACATATTGTTTTAAATTTATAAAAATAAATAAGTTCTTACGTATTGTATACGTATCCACTGCTTAGTATCCAATATTTCAAATAGTATATGAAATATTTTTTCTGCAAACATTACCCACTTATCTTTTAATTATCCAACGACAATGGAAATAGACACAAATAAAAAGGAAACTCTCATGCTGCGAATGGTGGCATATAGCATATGCATTTACTGTAAAGAATAATCCTGGGAAAATTCGCAAGAAAAAATTGACACACTGAAAATGGCGAAACCGTGTAATAGTTAACAGAAACTGATACTTGTAATGTATCGTAACGGCTTAAAAAGTATTCACGTATCCATGCGTGCGCGCTGCAATTGTGGCTTCTTAAGTAAGGTCAACTAGCCTACTTCCCCCTGCTCTACTATTTCGTTCTCACCGTTTGTAGTAACGCAGTATGCTCTCGTTACGAGGTACGCTAATGCTGCTTTCCTTTTTTCTCATTTACTTATCACATTACTATGGATACACAACATGTAATGAGCGGAATGAGACATTCTTTAACAAGGAAATCTTTTCTTGGATCAAAAGGTTATCGGGAAGTACGGGTTTCCCGTTCGAATGCATAAACACCTTAGGTTCGAATAAATTTCAATCGAAAGACAAACCTCGACCATTCTGTTTTGGCACCTCATGAATGGATAAATGTAATGTTTGTTTTTGTACGATGCAATGAATACTGTTAGACAGGAATACCTGGCTATTTAAATACGGAAAGGAAGTTTATTTGAATATCCCAGTCATTAACATGCTCGACTTGTAGTGTCATCGAAACATGTTTTTTTAAATTTCTATTTGTCCAACGATTTCTGCACAATTCTCGAAATTGAGACGATTGTCCTACTTTGCGAATAATATATTTTTATAAAGTATTAAATAAAAATGTAGCTTTGTTAATATGTATTATTTGAATGTCATCAATTTTTGTAACTAAAATGTAATTGTAATTTATGAAAGTTGCACACATTTTTCAGTATTTCCTTTTACAGTATTTTGTACGTCTTTACCCCTCTTTGTTCCGGTACTAGTTATACAATTTCTTATCAAGTAATTAAAACACAAATGAGTTTTCAACAAGAGTTCGTTCATGAATGAACTTTTGTATTTAAAGTTTAAATTTTAGTCTGTAACAATGTACATAATTCTGACAGTACAAATTATTTTTGAAGAAATGAATATAAGGTATTCTTAACGAAATATCAAGTCATTGCGAAATTCACTAGTTTTCATACACATGAACAAAATACGTTTAATTATATCTTCCTCCTATAGTATACATATACATATATACTGCATACTGCATGACACGTTTTCCTTATCGTCAAACATAAAGACAAAAAATCAAAATAATCAACTAATGGGTTGATTTCCTCATACTGTGACCTTCATTTCTCCTATTACAACATAATATATGTATACACAAACATATGTGTTAAAACGAACTTTCCGAATGTCATATAAGACAATTTTATTCTACGTTTTCGACTTGTTCGTTCTTGCAGATTCACTTCCCTTTGGATTGTACTGCGATTTCGGAAATATCACCTTGTATACCTACGTGAAGGAAATTATATAGTATGGTCTTTTCCAAGTAAAACCAACTTCAGTCTTAATAACCAAGCTGTGGTAGTTATTTATAAGAAAAATAATAAATCGCGACGAGAGGAAGCAGTTCTGTCTGACAACTATTTGCGTCACGATATTTTTGAATTGAAATAAAATAAAGGTCGCGTCAATGATAATATTATATATATATATACAATGATAATGTTAAAATGAAGTTATAGGATGAAATAAATGAGTTTAACGGATTCGAATCTGTAAGTAATTTATCAATGTGTAATTAAATACCTAATGATTATTTTATCGAGGAAATAATAATCAAATAAAAATTATTTCATTTGCAATGAACTGCGGATATTGTTAAATGTAAAGTATTACCTGACAGATATTCTGTATTTAAATAAAAAAAATTGCTAATCAACGATGAGTCTCGTAAACGCAGTATGTAAAAATTCGTGGATTTGTTCTATTTAAATTGACGATGTATGTTTATGTACGGTCATTTCAAAAAAACGACTAACGATTACATAAACTGTTTAATTTATAATTATTATATAATTATTAATATTAATATTAATATATTTAATATAATATATATATATATATATATATATATATATATATATATATATTGATAACTATTCTTATACATATCCAA